TTAGATAAGTTTTGTATATTCACCATATTTGCGAGTGAAATATATGATGAACCTATTGCGGGTATATTAGGAGATATAACAATCTGAGATATTTTTTCTCATGTGAATAAAAATCATGTATGCGTGACAAATTGTTACGCCGATCACTTTTGCCAAAAATAATAATAACTAGCGATACAAAAGACAACTCAGTATACAATAATTAAAATGTCGGGCACATAGTAGTACTTTCATTATTAGTGTTATCCATTATGTGTAGTTAGATTAATAATCAGTATTATCGCTGCATGAAAAATGTAGTTATAAGAATATTAGTATTATTGTTGCATGAAAAATATAGTCATTAAGATAGAATCGTATTGGTAATTAGTAATAGGGGCAGGTTAGCATAGTAAATAAAAGAGGGAATGGGAAATGTATCTCTTACCTTAGTTTGTTCAATAAACTATCCAATCTTGTCTTCTTGCTGCTGCTTCGTACACTCCTTGATTCGTGCCCAGTATCTTTAGAGTTGTTACGAAGGGAGTACACAGATTCTGATAAGGTTACTGCTGTAAAGCTCTAAATTCGCTCGATCTTATTGACCCCAATCTCATAAATAAATCATAAATCTTTTGGGCATACTTTTTCGTTTTTCGAAGCAAGCTCTGGCTAACCAATAGAAGTCGTAGTTATGATAGCAAACTGAGTAATTATAGAAATATGCATCAAAATGGTAGGATCTATGACCATTTTTCTGGAAATCCCGAACAAAATATTATTCATGTACTTATAGAGCCACTACCGTGATCAGAATTTTTTTTATTTGTATTGTTGTCCCAGCAACATTTTTTTTTTATTTGTATTGTTGTCCTGGCAACATTTTTTTATGAAATAAAGAGGGGCCTCATGGGCTCGCCATTTTTTATTTTAACACGATTGTGGGCAAAAAATTAGTCAGAATTTATTTCGGTAGAAATGTCACTTTGTGCCTAAAATTAATTATGATACTTATCTGCAGAGACCTATCTACAATCATGCTTCCACTGCTATGCTTTTATTCGGAAATTTAAGAGCGTTATTCCAAGGAATAGGTAATGTGTAGCATTGAGTCTTTAACTCCTGAATTAATTTTGAATTT